GAACAAAACAAAATGAAAAGACTTCTCCTGTTTCAAAATCTTCAACACTAAAAATCCCTACGCAGATTTGCATAAAAAATTTCCTTAGCTAAGGTAATACTGGGAGGCTTTTTAGGGTTTCCCAACTGAATTCAACATAAAATTGAACACTTGTAGAAATAGATTTACCACAATTAACTCGATTAATGTCCAAAACTTTCACCTTTTTTTTCCTGGTAGATGAACTAATGCCCTATATGATTCACACACATTCCTAAAATTTGTATTAATGAACTTCACTATTTCAGCACAAGTAATAAAAACAAGTCTACACACAGATTTAGTATATGCCAGCTTAGAGGAAGGTAAAAGTGCATGAAGAAAACCTAGTGACAGCACCCATTGAACGACCCCACAAGCCAATTAAAGAGACATTTCCATCTGCCCGCAAAAAATCTACCGCGGCTTTCAGATCATCCTTCTGAAAAAAGGAAAAAGAATGTTAGATAATATTAACTAATGGAGAGTAGAAATCACCAAGAAACAAACTGGTAATCTAGTGTGAAAAGGGACTAGATACACCATAAGGCAGTGAGAACATAATATATTACCACGGGTTTTCCAAAAAACTAGTCAAGTGTAACTCTGAGAGCAGATAAAAAATAATTTCTGTTGATTATTTATTTTTCAAATACAAATGAAATTAGAAAATAAAAGATCCCCATTTTCCAAACACAATCATGCATGAAAAAGAGATAACAGTTTTATCTCTCTGGTTACACTGTATTTGCAGTCAATATGTCAAAGATTTTACTTCTGAGGGGCAACAAATTTGTTAAAATGAAACCTTGGGTTTAGTGGCAAAAAGAAACTATAGAAACAGATAAAACACTCACGAGACAGAATAATTTATCTTATATAACAGATCCATATACAAGGGTAAAAGCCAAAAAACATGAGTTCCCAACCAACTCCCCATACTCCAAGCTCCAACAAGCACTCAGATAATATGGGAAAAGTGGTCTTCATGATACAAAAGCAATAAATATATAGATTGAACACATATAAAGAGCTCTCTACATCATTAATTTTTTTTTTTTTTCTCTAAAAGCAACTTATATAGGCATTTCTTTCAGCTAGTTAGTCAGCCACTTACTTCATTCCACCCTAAAGTGACATGTTCTCCTCCAGAGAGTCCAGATCCTGAGAAATCAAGGGTGAAAACTGAAATATTTGAAGGCAGCAATATTATAGCAGCTTCACTAGCATCAGCCCTGCAACCACTACCAAAAATGAAGATATATTCCCAATTAGCATTCTGTAACTAGAGCCCAAGTGTCTAACAAGACAATTTCAGTAAATAAGGGGCAAAGAAACCCAGGGGTTCCTTTTCTAATACAGATTACAGTCATACTTTAATGCACAAACTTCTGAAATGTCTACTGGAGAACTAATATAATTTTTATGAAAATAGTTAACAAACAAAAACTTAACATCTTATAATATAATTCTTTAGTCACCTGTTTCCATGACAGTAAATAACACAGGGTAGAGGCTTTCCTTCAGGACTAACAATTGGCACATAGTGACTACATTTTAGAACATCCCCTCGACTGTTTTTAACCTGAAGAATGTTGAAAGCTCCTTACATGTAAGACTGAAAAAGAAATTGGAGTTTTCAAGCTTAAAACATAATACATTTGACCTAGAACATTACCTCTACATCCTTTCTTTGGTACCACTTCCCTTTCAGCATGAACTCTTGATCCAACAAATCATGGTCTGGATGGTATTCAGCTCTGTGCCATTAAAATAGAGAGTCTCACAATCTCTTTATGTGGATAAAGCATAGTTTAGAATATGTCAAACTTAAAAAGTAAGATAATAAACTACTAAGCTAATAAAAGTTCTGAGAGTCAGAGAGCTGATTTTTTAAGAAGTCCCTCATATTATCTCATCTCACATCTTGTGAAAGGTGCATATAACTTACATAAATTGGCAGCAATGCCAAAAGAGTGCATCAATTCAATCAAGCTTCATGTTCTCCAAGAAAACTCTGGTCATTCTCAGTGCTAAAAACTATCTTATGTTCTAAAAGAAAGGAGTATAAGTAACAACCTTGGAACCCAACAATGCATCATGATTATAGGTACTCCATCACCACAATATGACACATCTAAACAAATTGGTTTTAGAGAACATGATTTATAACAATAAGAACAGTTTGATTTTAGCCGATACTCATAAATTTCGAGATCACAATCACAAACACAAGATACTACTACAATCTCAAATCTGCCACAAAAAGTTGATAAAGTAGATGAAATTCATTTCCAACTGTTTCTAGGTTAACTACCAAGCTAACAACTGTCAAAGAGGACTCATTTCTATTATCTTTCCTTTCATTATCACATTAGATGCACCAAACTGAAGGGAAAAAATAACTAAGTCCACACAAAGAAAGAAGAAAAAGGCCCCAGGTATCACATGTCAACCCCATAATATCCCACTCAAATTAATACTAAAACTTCATAACAACAAGATCAACACCCAAAAATAAAAACCCTGGAACAAAACCAAAAATTAGAAAATTACTACTCAGTAACCATCAATTAACTCAAAAAGAATTCAGATATTTAGAAATCCAATCAAAGTGGATAAAAAAGCTAATTTGACTAAAATTATTCAAAATCAACTAGAATTTTAAATTAATCCCCTGTTTGGTGAGTAAGAAAACGGTTGAAAGTAACAATAAAATCGTATCTGAAATCTTATGCTCTATGTTGTACAATTTCTCCAAAGACCCGGGTAACAAAAACACCAAGATTCATGTCCTAAGTTTAAAATTTTTCCCCGTCCTAAGAACCTATTAGAATTCACAGATAAACAATGAAATCAAAGGCGGAAAATTGATTACCTGGGTGGCCGAATTATAAAGTTGACAAGCTGCTCCATGGAAGAGATTCAAAAGGATGATAAGAAAATGATTTTTTTCCTTCTCTCAAGTCCCTTTCTTTGTCTCTCTCTTAGCTGTGCTCTTCAGTTCTTTTACGAATATAATAATATATTAAAAAATAATATGAATAACAGTGGAAGATCGAGATTGAAGAAAGAAAAACAAAGAAACACAGAATCTTCTTCTTCCGTGTGTAAAGATGCTATTGTTTAGACAAAGAAGGAGAAGCAGCAGCGAAAGAAGAAGAAGAAGAAGAAGAACCGGCCTATGTTAATCTTGTTTTTGTTTTTGTTTTCGTTATTTTCGTTGTCGCCGTTTCCATTTTCTGTTTGTTTCTTTGCAAACAAAAGCTCATTTTTTCTTCTTTTCTTGGCTCTCTAACCCATGTCTGCTGTCTCTCTCTGCTTATCTGGCTTCATACACACGTATGAGACTCTCTAACTTCAACTTCGTTCCTCCCACACGTGAGGGTAAATCCCACACGTGTTGATGGCTCGATATTGGGCTTCTTGTTTTTAATCGGCGCAAAAAGGCCGAATTAAGTCCATTCCAATTTCAACTGGCTTTCACAGTTTACAAATGGAGCTTCATGATAAAGTTTGAAGGGCTAGATACTGTGAACGCTTCACAATGAGTATCAAAACATTAAGTAAAAACAAAATAATCCTCACGTCTATGGCTAGATATTAGATTTCTTTTTGAATAAGTCTAAATATTACTCCATCAAATTTATTCAAGTTTCAACTCTATTTCACTTCACCTCTTGTAGTCAAATCACAAACCCTTTAGTTACTATGGTTAACTATATCCAAGAAGTCATGTGTTCAAGTATAATTACCTTGATCCATTAGGTTTGTATAGTGTTCTGGGACTCTAAGGATTAGGCACGTTCCGATGTGAGTAAGAATACCTCACTTACCTAAAAAAGTAAAACTATAGCTGTGTTTGTTTTGTTATTTTGGATATGGTTTTTGAAATAGTATTGGTAGGTAGAGTTTGGTGATTATTACGAGGTAAAATTTAAAAATGAACAAAAAAACCTTTCTAAGTTTGCTAAATTAACTAAACACCCAAATATATAAAATTTTTATAAAATGAAAAAAATACCCCACCCACCCACAGTGCCAGATTCCAGCCACCACCATCAAAATCTGGTCAGAATCTGGCATTACGGCGCACAACCAGTCGGATCTGGCCGGTCGTGCGTTGATCTGGCCTTTTCTGACTAGATCCACCATGGATCTGGACGAAAAAGTCCAGATCTACAGCCAGATCTAGCCGTCGTTGACCGTCAATGAAGGTCATTTCTTTAGCCGTGGCTGACGGCTAGATCTGGCCTTTTCCGGCTAGATTCACCTTGAATATGGCCAGAAAAGGCCAGATAGGTACATTACCGGCCGTTAGTGTGCCGTTGTGACAAATTCCGACCACCACTAACGGTGGTTGCTTGAATCTGGCAGCTATGGGTGAGTGGGGGTGTTTTTGTTAATTTATAAATTTTTTTGTTGGAGGTGTTTTTGTCAATTAACCAAACTTAAGCGGGTTTTAATAGTTTTTTAATTTATGACAGGATTGTGAAAATAGGGAAATAAACATACATTTGTATTTGGAATAAGGATAGAATAGTAATAAATAATGAAACAAATAAACCTATGTTTCCTAGTTCATAAAATGGAGCTTTATGATGAAACTTGAATGCCCATCTAATTGGTGAATATTCTATGAATAAAGCATTTGATGAAAATTGTAGTATAAACTAGTTTATGTAGGGGTTAGATTAGGAGAAGAGTCAATTTATGGTGGGAATATAAAGTCAGGGGCTTGGTATTTGACATTTACAATGGGGAACAAAAAGTATGAAGGTGTCTGGTGGGCTTCTAAGTGTAGAAAAATAAAAGGGCAGTGCAATGATACCAACTCATCACCACTTTCTTAGAAATTTATGATGTGAAATAACACCCACCTCGCCAAATAAGGTTCTGTCATCATTCATCAACACAAATATAAAAATAATTATGCAAACTTAATAACGTTCCCACTTCAATGTTAGCCACCAAATGTCCAAAAATCTTTGAGGAATCAATTCCTAGACCNAAACGAAATATCAGTTGGATCCGCGCAAGCTGTGTTTAAGATTAAGCCTCGTCCCATGAAACTTTGCTCTGATACCATGTTAAACAATCCAAAGAAAATAATAAAAAGAGGAGGCTAGGGTTTCATTGATATTGCACAATTCAATTGAATACAAAAAAAGTATGATTTAACCTAAATACAAAGATATATATATATAGGCTAAACAAAGGAAATAATGAAAAGACAAATCTACCCTTAATAAACAATAAAACAAAATAACCCATATTTCTTAACACCTACGATATGCGATACATATCTTACGATACAATTCAATACAGGTCATTAACGATATGTATCAGAGAGTGTATCTTAAACCTTTCGATACATTGATATGTATCTTATGGTACGATACGTATCCGTTCGTATCCTTAAAAATATCGATACGACTTTATTAATTTGGGCTAAAGACCCAAAAAAAATTTGGGCCGAATCCGAGTCACCCAACCCGGTTAACTAAAACCTACCTAAATTTACCTATTTTGCATAACGAAGGTGAAGAGAAACATGTGTTACCCATTTTGCATGATAATAATAATGCAAGTGGAGATATAAATATAAACATTGATCTTGGAAATAATATGACTGGTTGAGAGGAAATGATATAGATTCTTAATTTTGTGATTAATTTTGATTACGTAATACCATAATTTAAAGCCAATAATACCATAAAATTCTTTAATTAATCTTTATAATGATATTAATTTTTAGAAATTTTTTATTATTTTATTAATTTTTTTGAAAAAATATATCCTCCGATACGATATGATACGTGATATATGATTCGAAAAATTTGGTTTTTGATACACGATACGATACATGATTTAACAACCATGGGGTAAATGATAATCTAAAGAGGAGCCTAATAGTTTTGAAAAACCCCGGGGGCATTTAAAACTTCTTTGTCTCTCATGAGGCTGATAATAAAAACTCTTATTTTGAATAAATAGCTATATTAATAAATAAAAGCAATTATATATCGCTTATTTTTTTTCATTCATGTTATCCTCTTCCTTCTCCGACTTTCCCGTAAATTTAATTCTATACTTCTATTTTTATTTCTCTATCTTATTTGATTATTTGTATTTCTTCTCTTAATTCTCTCCTGTTTTCTTTATATTTATATCTCTTATATATATTCATTTCTTTTTTTTTTTTTTTTTAATAATGGAAGGTGTTCAAGGCAATTTGTGATTTAGGCATTTCCAAGATGGCAAAATCTTGCCGAAGACTTCACTCTGTCTTCACTTTATATCTTCCATTATTTCTTTCTTTCTATCAGTCCTACATCATTGTGCCTTAAATATTTTAATTGTTATGAGGATCATAGTGAAATTTTGGTGTATCATTATAGCAGAAAATATAGAAAATGACAAATGTTAGTTATAACAGCGTCTCCAGGTCCTCCTTTCTTCAATGCTAACTTATTAAGGAGAACTTGGTCTATCAATTATTGCCTTAATTTATTATACAACACACAAGAGTCATGGTATGACAAGTCAATTTAATTACAATAAAGAATGTTGTATTAGTTATTCTTTGTGAAAGGAAATAAGACACTAATAAAATATTTCTTACTTGAATGAATTTGTGAGGAGCAAAACTTTGAGCAAATATGCTTGAAACAACAATCAAATTCATAAGAAACGCAAGCAATTTTATGTGAAAAAACCTCTTCGATGTGAAGAGATTAAAAAACCACGGGATCGATAGATCTACTTAAATCCACTATAATAAAAAAGTGTTTACAATAACCATAAATCATCAATAATATTCCATATAAAATTTAGAGCTTTATCATAACTCTAACAAAGTGAAATGCACAAAAGAATTATGAAAAGATAAAGAGTAAAATCACCAGTAAAGCACCCAAAATGCAAGCTATATAACTCCAAATTCAGCCGTTAAAATCGAAAATCAACCATCCAGATTGAAGACCCAAACATGCTCTATGTTCTGACCAAAATTCAAGTTGATCAGACTAGAGATGACCTTTCGATAGTCAAGTTGAAGAAGGACAGACGGACTAAAAATTCTGCAACTCAATTTTTTGATTTGACTATCTTTCTAGAGACAAAACTCCACAAAAAAGATGGCTATCACAAAATCGACTGTTGGATGTGAAGATCTTGTCATCAACAACAACGCTTTGAAATTTGAGCAAAAATGGAGCAAGATTCATTGTTGGATCGTCGTTGGAATAACCTGGTGTGGCTGCCTCTCCCTCACTTCTGCATTACAGTACCCACATTTTTCCATTATTCACCCACTCAAAAATCAACTAAAACATGTTGCACCCTTTTTTTTTTCATTTTTTTTTGGGCTTTAGGATTTTGGGCCATCCTCCACGTGAGGGATACCCAAGCCAAACAAATCTCCCCCTTTCCAGACTATGTGGGGGAGATGGACCATACAGACAATAGCTCAACAAACTTCAAGCTTCTCCTTTGCCAAAGACTTTGTCAACATATCCGAGCCATTGTCATCTGTATGGATCATCTCAAGTTCAAATGGGCCATCGTGAAGAGTATCCCTTATCCAGTGATACCTTACATCAACATGTTTAGATCTTGAATGGAATGTAGAATTCTTCACAAGATGAATATCACTTTTGTTGTCACAAAACAAAACATACCGTTGTTCTTTAAAACTAAGCTCTCTCATGAACTTCTTCATCCATAACAACTCCTTGCAAGCTTCTGTTATACCAATAAATTCTACTTCTGTCGTAGAAAGTGCAACACACTTTTACAATCTCAACTGCCAAGAAACAACTCCACCAACAAAAGTAATTAGATAATCGAAAGTAGACTTACGAGAATCCACGTCTTTGGCCATGTCAACATCTGTGGAGCCAACCAAAACTGGGTTATCACTTCCAAAACAAAATTTTAACTTGGAAGTGCCTCATAGATACCTCATCATCCACTTCACTGCATCCCAATGCTCTTTCCCTAGATTTGATAAAAATCTGCTAACAGCCCCAACTGCATAAGCTATATCTAGCTTCGTACACACCATTGCATACATCAAGCTTCCTACAACTGATGCATAAGGGACTCTTTCCATTTCCTCCTTTTGATTGTAGATGGACTTTGCTTTGCACTTAGCTTAAAATGAGTAGTTAGAGGAGAACTCACTGCTTTGGCCTTGCCTATGTTGAACCTTTTAAGCAATTTTTCAATATACAACCCTTATGACATATACAATTCCTTCGCTTT